TGGCTTTGATATTCCAGGCTTCAGGATGAAGGAAGGGATGAGGACGAAGTTGTTAGGGATATTTCTGCTTTATATCTCACTGGCTGGAACATATTTGAACTGAGAATCAAGTAAATGTTTGTGTTATACATCTGGTGGAAAAAAAGTATATTCAGTATATAGTAGTTACCTTTAAAAACTGAAATTTTCAGTATAGACCAGAGTGGTGAAAAGGAAGTTTAGGGGAGTCTTCATGGATCAGACAAGTCTGTTAGTTGAAGGAGAGTCTATCGACTATTCCCAGTTCTGCCTTCTGGAACAAACAACATAAATCAGTTTAATTCCTTCTGTGTGACAACGCTTCACCTTATCAAACGTAAAATATAAAAGGCATAGTTTGGGTGAGTGTGGATTTTTCCCCCCTTAAAATTCCATAGCTTTAAAGAGTATTTTGTATATTTTGGCTAAAATTTAGGAAAAACAAAATGAACCCACTAATGGGTGATAATTTTGTAGAGGTCTTTAACTTTTTAATCCAAAAAATTGTGTGGACTGTAAATTATAATTCATTTCCATCAACTCATATATGATTATTCAGCAAAAGTGGAAATTTGAAGTAGATTCCAAACGTTTTGAGTTTTAAAATATTCTAAATAGTGTGTTATTTAGATTCAGCCTTGAGTGACAAAAATATCCAAAATAAGAGTGGCTTAAACAAATAGAAATATTTTGCTGTCTTGTAAAAGTCTGAGCAGGTGATGTAAACTGTTGTCATGTCTGATGGTGTCAAAAATATGGTTTTCTCTTTCTTGTTGCTCTCCCCTTCTTAAGTCTGGTCTCGAGGTGCAAAATGGTGGCTTTGATATTCCAGGCTTCAGGATGAAGGAAGGGATGAGGACGAAGTTGTTAGGGATATTTCTGCTTTATATCTCACTGGCTGGAACATATTCATGTGGCCGCATCTATTAATAGTTGCAAGAGAGGCTAAGAAGCAGGGTGTACACTGGGTAGCCATGTACTCAGTTGTAATTTGGGAGTTTCATGTATGGGAGAAAGAAAGATGCAGAAGATATTGGGGGACAACCAGCAGTGTAATGTAATTAGTACAGCTACTTACTTGAGTACCCCTTCATTAAATCGTTGTTCAACGGATGAATGTTTCTAATTGCTCCTGTCAAAGTAGGTATTGATCTGGATATTTACATATATAGAAGATAAATTATGGCAAGATTATTTATTATTGATGTTTTTATAATTTTTTTCTCATCTACTCTTTACAAATATGGTATATCTGACAGTCTTCAGGCAGATGTAATACTGTCCAAGATTCATTTCAGTTTATTTATTGCTGTCCCCCGCCCTCCAAAAAACTTGGAGGTGTATTTAAAAATCTCTTCTCATGTGTCTATGATGACCATTTCTTGCATATGCTTGGCAAATGTTTTTAGATTGAATAAATGAATGGTAATAAAACCTTGAGGCATCCAAGCCTTTTCTTTTAATTTCTTTTGTTTCGATTTACACAAACAAAAGTTTATATCTATAATATACATAGAAGAAATTCTTGACCTTAAATCTGTATTTATTACAAGATTTTCAGGAACATTCATTCAGCTTTCAGGTGGAATGTGGTTAGGTTTGGATTTAATTATGGTTAAGTACCAATTATGGCATTATTAGGCAAAAAAGGCTAAACACCCATTGTAGGGATTTCAGTGCTAGTTATTTCATTGAGGCTATCGGGGATTTGAGGAGAGAGACGTATTTGTTAGACCACCCTGGCAAGGTGTTTGAGTATTATAAAATTCCCAAAGATGAGTAATAAACTACTCAGGCATCAAGAAACCATTTAGCTTATTTTAATTGAATAGAAAGTTCCTAGAAATCGATAAGGTGTTTCTGGAGTCCTGGAAACATATTTTGGAATGTTAGTAAGTTATATTGTTTGAACTTGATTTGTCTCACTTTGTTTGTTTTATATGCTGAGAAAGTAACTTTCAAGCTTCATTAAATTTTTTGACATAATTTACAGTTTGCAAAAGTTATTAAGATAAAAATAATCTCCAGCGACAGAAACTCAGTTCTTCCTAAGTCATTGCATTACATGTTTGGAGTACTCTGACTGAGGGTATTACTGTGTGGCAGTTATGCTGGCTCTGAAGTCAGATAGCCCAGGTCAGATTTTGTGCCATCACTTACTTTGTGACCTCAGGTGACTTATTTAGCTTCTCTGTGCCTCATCTATACACTGGAGGGTAATAATACTTCATAGAGTTGTGGTAGGGTTGAGAGAGCAGGGCACCTAGCACTTAGAATAAAGCTTAGTACATAATAAACAATAAATGTCATTAATGGTCACTTTTGTCATCATTATTAATGTTTTCTTCAAAATGAGTTAAAATATGACTCCAAGAAATATTTAGGAGATTATATCAGTTGACTTTTTCATTTGTAGCACATACGCTATGTGATACCAAGTGAAATAGAAGATGCAGGTTTGGTGAGGAAGAGGAGGAGAATGTTGAATGTGGTTTTTTTGTTTTGGTTTTGGTTTTACAGTTTTTTTTAGAGACAGGGTCTCACTGTGTCACCCACGCTGTATTGCAGTGGCACCACCTTGGGTTACTGCAACCTCTGCCTCCCAGGTTCAAGGGATCCTCCTGCCTCACCCTCCTAAGTAGCTGGGACTACAGACATGTGCCACCACACCCAGCTACTTTTTTATTTTTAGTAGAGATGGGGTTTCGCCATGTTGCCCAGGCTGGTCTCGAAGTCCTGGGCTCAAGTGAACCACCTGCCTCGGCCTCCCAAAGTGCTGGGATTACAGGCATGAGCTGTCATGCCCGGCCCTTGAATTTAGTTTAGAATGTGTTGAACTTGAGTTGTTTGTGGGATATTAATCTTGAAATATGAATTTAAAGGAGGGACAGAGGTCACTGGCATATGGGTGATAATTAAAACTATGGGAGATGAATGACATAACATAAGGGTCTACCTTGGGCCTAGGTTTGAAACCTGGGGACACTAACCTTCAAAGAACAGGCAGAGGACATAAAGGAAACCATCTGAAAGTTAGTAGGAGAAACAGGAGAGAGAAATACCACCAAAAAGAGTTACGGTGTCTGATGAAACAGAGATTAAAGTAATCTGAGAACTGAAAAGTATCCATGGCTTGCTAATTAAAGGGTATTTTGTGACCGTTTGGTATCCGTAGAGTGGAGGTGGAAACCAGATAGCTGTGAATTTAGGGATGGTGATAAGGGAGGAAAAGAAGGCAATAAATGTAATTACTGTAACTACTCTTTTGAGAAATTTTAATGAGACAAATTGGAAACTAGAGGAAGATACAGGATCAATGGAAAAGTTTTGGAGGGTATATGATTTGGATAGGCTTAAGAGAAATAGCTATTAGAAAAGAGAAAAGGTTGAATGTGAAGAGAGTGTAGAAAAGATAGGTTCAAGGCCAAATTTGATGAGATTGGCTTTGAATAGGAGGAGGGATGTGGATAGAAGTAAGCCTTTAAGAGAGGGAACTGGAGTTCACCTGTAATTCCTGCACTTTGGGAGGATCACTTGAGCCCAGGAGTTCAAGACCAGCCTGAGCAGCATAGTAAGACCCCATCTCTACAAAGATTTAAAGAAAAACCAGCTGGGGATGCTGGCACATTCTCATAGTCCTAGCTATTAGGGAAGCTGAGGCAGAAGGATCACTTGAGCCCAGGAAGCTGAGGCTGCAGTGAGCTATGTTCACACCACTGCATTCCAGCCTGGATAACAAAACATTACCCTGTCTCAAAATAAATAAATAAAAAGGGAAAGTCACTCCGAATGACTTCATGTTCTCTAAAGAAATAAAAAGGGTGTTTGTCACTGAAAGGAGAGTTAGATACATGTTTTGAGAAGAATGGTGAAAGTTTAGAATAGAATTGAGGAAAGTGGGAGAGGTAGCTGACAAATTTGTTCCCTGACTGAGGGATTTTTCACCTGAACGGTATTTAAAGATATCACTGGTAGTGTGGATGCCATGAATGTGTTATATGAAAAAGCAGAAGGACTATATTTAACATAGAATATATTGATTTAGCACCTCTGTGTACAAAGCACTGTGCACATACCCTTCCTGAGAGATTCAGATGAGCACTGGTCATCTTGTCCAAGGAGAGTATGAGCTAATAGCTCAGGTCACGTGATTTGTCACAAACGCAAATGTTTATAATAGATTAAAAATGGTAAATGGCACATGAGTTTTATAAACATACTATAACAGTTTGAAAGAGATAGAGATCCCATCAAATAGGTGGAAAATAAGAGGACTTTATGAAAAAGGCACAAAAAAGGGCCATGTGTGAATTTTCTGTTGAAATAGTAATAATTCTGAATTTTTGATTTATTACACTATGTATTCTTCTATAATACAATGACTAGCATTAAACAGAAGAAGAGAAACAAAGAGATTAATGAAACAGTGAGTTCTCTCCTGTCCAAACAATGTTCTAAAGTTGATTATATTTTTAGTAAGAATATAGAATTCAGTAATCATTTTCACAAACATTCCACAAATATGAGCATCTCTATTAGGTGCAAAAGATACAGACATGACTAAGATACAATTTCTGTCCTCAAAGAGTGCATACTCTAATAGAAGAAATAGAAGTAAAAGGAACTGTAGTTTTGTACAACAAGTGATATAAACATGGTATATATAAGTAGTGAAGTTTAGGGCACAATGGAAGGAAGCATGAATAAATGATTATGTTGACATAACAGCACATTTTTTTCCTTTTTCTTTCCTTTAGTTGGAGAACATCAATTAACAGGCCATAAAGTGGCAGTTAAAATCTTAAATAGACAGAAGATTCGCAGTTTAGATGTTGTTGGAAAAATAAAGCGAGAAATTCAAAATCTAAAACTCTTTCGTCATCCTCATATTATCAAACTGTAAGTATTTTTGTATCTGATAATGCCAAAGAGACACCTGTCTTAAAATGTTTTTTAGGAATTTTATAATGATTGTTTATTGTTAACCTTTTACAAAGATGTTTTTTCATGTTCATGTTCAGCAAGTGTTAATTCATTTAACCTTTATGAGTCCTTTTTTTGCACACTCTTGGTTAGAATGAACAGACATTGTTTCTAAATTGGTACTCTTCTCAAGTGATGAATGAAGCCTTAGAAGTTGGTTCTTATCCAACTTTAAATGTCATTCAGGGTTTTGACATTTCTAGATTCATTTTTATAATTTTTATCTAGTCAATTTTCACTAACATATCAGGGTATTTTTTTCTTTGGAAAGTTGGAAAGTATATGTCAAAGATTATTTCACATAGTATGTTACTTGTAGAACTGAAAGTAGTACTGTAATCATAAAGCTTTTAGGAAGGCAAATGTGTTTTTTTCCCCTTGGAATAAATTACAAACTTAAAAGTCAGGTAAATATAGAGATAAATAAGATAATTAATTCAAAGATAAATAATTATTTTAAAATTGACTAGACCCTAGAAAATATAAATATTAATTGTGCAATATTGTGTTTCTTTCAATCATTTAAAGTTGCAGTTTAATGTTTGTTGAGAAAATGTAACGTGCTAGACGCTAACAACTGTCTCATTTATCTTCAAGCTTGGATACAGTTTTATAAGATAAGTATTGCTCTTACTTATTGAGTACCTGGTAGTGGTCCAGAACTGTACCAAGCATTTTTTTTTTTTTTTCTTTTTGGTCAAGGTTCTGCTGAATGTATGGAGCATTTTACATCTTTAATTTAATGTTATCTTCGTGATCAGTGTCTAAAGTAGGCTTACTTTATAGTCAAGGAAACTGCATTATCTAAGAAGTAATAGCAGCTTATCCAAGGCCACACACCTAGTAAGTCACAGAGCTGCTGGTTGATGTCAAACCTGATTCCAAATGCCATGCTGTTAATGCTCTAGCACTCCAGTTTTTCTTAAAACTGAGAGTTATATAAATTCCTTTTAAAGAAAAAAGAAATTTATGGATCCCCGATTTTGACTTATTTTTAACATACCATTACTTAAGAAACAAAGCCCTACGTATAAACTTTATATGTATATAGTTTGAATGCAACTATGAAACCAAAAGAAATTCACAATTTAAATACAAAAAAACCCACACTGGAATCAATGGAATTCAAAGCAGTATCAATAGTATAATGTGACAAATAATAGTGTTTCATAACAACCAAATCATTGTTAGAGAGTTTAATAGTGGAAACAGTAGGAGGAGATCAAATACTAAATTTATATTGTGAGTCAAATAAGATTGGTACAGAGAAAGCGTGTTCACACAAATCTACTATTAAAAAAGCAGAATTAGGCTGGGCGCGGTGGCTCACGCCTGTAATCCCAGCACTTTAGGAGGCCGAAACGGGCAGATCACAAGGTCAGGAGATCGAGACCATCCTGGCTAACACAGTGAAATCTCGTCTCTACTAAAAATACAAAAAAATTAGCCGGGCGTGGTGGCAGGCGCCTGTAGTTCCTGCTACTCCGGAGGCTGAGGCAGGAGAATGGCGTGAACCCGGGAGGTGGAGCTTGCAGTGAGCTGAGATCGCGCCACTGCACTCTTAACCTGGGCGACTGAGCAAGACTCCATCTCAAAAATAAATAAATAAAAACAGTATTAATATCTCTGAGATGTTATTTGCTAGTTCATTAAAATCAGACATTATATTTAGGCTGACCTTTGTCAGTGAGCAATCTTTGAATGTCAGCATTAATGTGAACAACTTGATAACCCTGTGGAATTATGTTGTTTACTTGATGACAAGAGTAGCATGTAAGTGTGGTAAGCAGAATAATACCCACCCCCCATATCTATTTCCTAATTCCCAGAATTTGTGAATATGTTAGGTTGCATGGCAAAGGGTAACGTTGCTAAGCAGCTGACCTTAAGCTAGGGAGATGATCCTGGATCATGTAGGTGGGCTCAATATTAACACAGTGGTTCTTAAAAGTAGAGAAGAGTAGAAGAAAAGAGTCAGAGAAAAAGGTCTGAACTTGGAAACAACATCAGAATGATAAAATGTGAGAAGCACTCAACTGGCCGTTGCTGCCTTTGAAGATGGAGAAAAGGGAGCATGAGTCAATGAATGCAGGCAGTCTCTACAAGCTGGGAAATGCAAAGAAATTCTGCCCCAGAGCCTTCAGAAGGCAACACAGCTGTGCTGACACCTTGATTTTAGCCCACTGAGACATATGTCAAGATTTTAGGATAAAGAACTGTAAGATAATACATTTGTGTTGTTTAAAGCCACTGAGTTTGAAGTATGGCAGCAATGGGAAACTAATACAGCATCATTGTTGAAATCCTTAAATAAATGGCTGGTCCAGTTATTGTTGAGATTTGGAACATTCATTTAGTCTTTACTGCTGTACTTATCGTTAGTGAACTATGGCGATTTGGTATTTTTAATGAACGGACCCATGCGGTGCATCTTATGGGCAGCATGAGTATGCCACTGACTGTTCAGAGCAGGCTTTTATGGGATTGGTGTGGATGACCGGTGATGACTCAGTTCTCACCTCACTGCTATGAAACCTTCGTTCTTAGAGTAAGCTTTGATGTCATATGATCTTCACTTGAAGTTCACTTAGTCATAAACATAAACAAACAAACAAACAAAAAAATGAGGTCCCTGAAATTGCATGGCAGTACTTGATTATAAGGTTATCATCCAGGACCTATGTATTAGATGGTCCAGAGTATGTATATGGAGGTTTTTAAAGATTATCATAAGAATTAAAATTCCCCCAGGATCTTGGTGACTCACCTCTCCTATCCTTTGTTTCTTTGACTTGAAAATGGGATGCCTCATTTGAGGATTAAATGTGCTGGCACTGGTATAATCCCTAGTATTTGATGAGCATTGGCCCAGAGCAGGAATTAGCTATTTACAAACTAATTCCAGTCCTCTTTCATTATTCCAAATGGTTTTCACTTAACTGAAACAGTTCATCTCTGACTTCACCTCCATATTATTAATGACTTTGTTCTAGTTACTGGGTAACATCTAAGCTAAATCTCTTTGCTCTTCCCCACTGAGTGTCCACTTCCTATGAGAAAAGAAAGCTGAAATGGCCAGACTAAAAGTGTCATATGCTAGAAAGAAAGTGGAGAAGGGAAAGATCTTTCCATATTTGCCTTACACCTTGACCTCATCACTTTTACAATGCCAACCCTGAAAGACTTTGAGGAAATTTTACCCATTTGGGTATGAGTCCTACTATCTCTACAGTTCCTAAAAGCACAAATCAGATTTTATAGATAAGCAGTTGCAGTTGTCATGAGGATTCTAAGGCTTCTTTTCCTTTTTTTTTTTAAAAAAACAGAGTCTAGCTCTGTTGCCCAGCCTGGAGTGCAATGGTGCAATCTTGGCTCACTGCAACCTTCTCCTCCCAGTTTCAAATGATTCTCATGCCTCAGCCTTCCAAGTAGCTGAGACTACAGGCATGTGCCACCACACCCTGCTAATTTTGTATTTTTTGTAGAGACAGGCTCTCCGCCATTTTGCCAGGCTGGTCTCGACCTCCTAAGCTCAAAACCATCAGCCTGTCTCAGCCTCCCAAAGTGCTGAGATTACAGGCTTGAGCCACTGCACCCAGGCCCAAAGATTTATTTGTGATGTCATATTTATCAGTGTTTTCTTGCCTCCATTTCTTTATTTACTTTCAATCATTTTATTTTTGTTTGGCTGTCTCATTCTGATACAGGATTATTTAATTGTTTGCTATTTTCTGAAGGAATTATAGAAGATTGTCAGAGTTGATCAGAAAGTAATTGGTAGAGGTGAATTTGCAGTTTAAAACTTTTGGCTTCCAGCCTTAAGATTAATTCATTCAGCTACATTGCCTCTTTAATTGTAGGTCTGATCTTAAAACAAAAAACAAACAAACAAAAAAAACCCACTCATGTATTTTTGCTACCGTACAAGCTTATTGACGTAGTCTCTAACAGTGTTAGTGATTTAAACAGAGAGAGCAACCTTATCCTTTCCGTGGTTTTCTTTTGTGTAGCCTTGGACTGTCAGGAATAGTTTCCTTATTGCAAAAATGGAACTCTGGAATTAGCAGGAAAGTTTGGGCACTGAATGTGAAGAATGAAGGATATTTATTGCATGATTTCTTTATTAACCCAAATTGAAAAAAAATTACAAATGAATAACCTAAAACCCACTGGTAGAAAATTAAAAGGAGCAAACAGGATTTAAAGAAAAATCCAGACTTTCCCATGAAGTAGAATTTGTTGAATTGATTCTTTCCTTTTTTTTTCTTTCCTCCATAGTTCTTAATGCAACTTGATTTTACTTGGTCAAAAGATGAATGCTTGCTAGTCTGGTAGAGATGATTTGATTTTGTCTAATTCTTTTTTGTTTGTTTGTTTGCTTGTTTGTTTTTTTGAGACAGAGTCTCGCTCTGTCGCCCAGGCTGGCATGCAATGGCGCAATCTTAGCTCACTGTAACCTCCGCCTCCTGTGTTCAAGTGATTCTCCAGCCTCAGCCTCCTGAGTAGCTGGGACCACAGGCAACCGCCACCATGCCCAGCTAATTTTTGTATTTTTAGTAGAGACAGGGTTTCACCATGTTGGCCACGATGGCCTCGATCTCTTGTCTCCGTGATATGCCCACCTTGGCCTCCTAAAGTGCTGGGATTACGGGCGTGAGCCACCGTACCCGGCCTGTCTAATTCTTTTTAGTCTATCTTATTTAATGTATGGCCAGCTTTTTAACATCATTAACTGCCAGCACCACCTTGAAATGTCTCTAGGTTTCCATGACACCTCAGGCTTCTGTTTTCTTTTTTTCATTCTTGTTTATTCTGAAAACTTTCTTTTATGGGCCCCTCTTTATCTTCCTGGCTGTTAAGTATTGATGCAGTCAAGTATACCGAGCTACTGCAATTTTCTTAGTGAACCCTCTTTT